CACCCGGACGGTGTGCCACCGCAGGAGGCCACGCACGCTCGCGGTCGGAGCACAAACCGGCTTGTGGACTGTGTACCCGAGGCGTCTATCAAACGCCCCGAGCCAGTATGTCGTCCACCGGACATGGTGTAAAGCCTGCAGTATCGTGTGCCGGCACCAACGGGCACGGCGCAACCTGATTTACATGCTGGATCCGCTGGGTACATCCGCTACGCATTGGAAGAAGGGTTCTTTTTTTCTCTCATGATAGATATGTTAGGCCCTCCAGCAGGCAGTTGGGAGGCTTTCCTTTTGTAACAATATATATAATGTGACCATGTGCAACTAGTTTGGAAAAATACGGGAAAGCATAGTGTGTGGCTGTGTGCAAACTGTCGGAACATACGGACGTCCCCTTCCGCCTGCCCTGGGGTTGACCTCGCTTAGTCATTGTTTAGTAGGCAGTTACAGCTAAATAGCTGGCCTACCGGCCACCCAATAGGAGAACAATCGGTCGCTTCCCACACAAACGCGTGATCATGTTACTTGGCGTCATGGCCAATTGGCCATACATCTGTCTGGCTGTTTGCCTCCGCCAGGTTGAATAACTAGCGCCAAACCGATCGCTTGCTGAGTCAGCTAGTCCGAGGGGTCAGGAGGCCACATCGTTAACCACGGCGAGGCTTAGTGGTATCGGGGAAGATAAAGTAGAACACTCGCAATGCACTCTTTGGCGCAAACTAATAAAAAATTTTTTGTTTTTTGGCTTGGAAATATAAAACGCCTACGACGTTGTCGCCATGGTGACCTGGCCATCGAACGTGGACGTCGCAAGGCAGCGACAAACGTCTGCCTCCCACGTCACACCAGGATGTGCCGATCACCTCCGACAAATTAACGAAACTCACGGTGGAGCTTCAATGGGCTCAACCGCTGGGGAAAGCACCAGCAGGAGGAGGGGCGCGACTCACGTTGGTGACACATCCTCGCGTCTTTGGCTCGCGGACGCGATGGAGACCCACTTCACCAAACCGCTGGAGTCATGATCAACTATGCGGCTGATTCGTTCAACCATTAACGCCACTGACGACCAAAGCAGCTACGGGGTGGAAGGTTGTTAAGACTAAACGTATTTCTTTATCTTGGGATCGACGGACCAGGTCGCCCTCGCTCTACTGCAGCCAGCACAAACATTCACTTTTGAATGAAGAAAGTTATATACTCTCAGAATCGAGCAGTTCTTAAAGCTTGGTGTGAAACAGTAGTTCCGGGCGATGTAACTAAGACCTTGTCCCATTGGTATCCTCCCGGCCTGGCATGAGAAACGATCCGTTCTCTTCTCCTTCGCCCGGTGACGTCCATTCCGACTCCATTTCCTTGTACCGAGCTGAACGGCGGGGTTTGGTGTGAGAGGTCGGGACACTCTCATAGATGCTGCTCACTCTCCTGTGCAGGCGGTGATTCGCCTGGTTTTGATGCTTTACTTGTTCCTCTAGCTTTCTATAGCTCCCCCTCAGCTTAAGGTCCCGTAGCATGTCGCTTGGTAGCGCAATGGAGATAGTCTTACCGGACTCTGGTTTCGAGACTTGAGCATACTGATCAGCACAGTTCGAGGGTGACCGGCGGCCAGGTTTGGCACATCATAGGACGGGACATACTCGCAGATCAACATTGTGAGAGCCTTTGTAGACGTATCAGCCATGTTATTGGGATGCTCAGGAAGCTCGTTTGTGACCACGCTGTCAACTTCCGACATTGCATCTCTGTCGCTTGCGTCGTTCTCATGGGTTAAAATGCCCTCACCTGAGACGGCCTGGAAGGTCGGCTTACTGTCGTCTGGTGGGGCTGATTCGGTGTAGTGTGAGGCATTCGACCGGGTGCCGGAATGCGACTTCTTCTCAGCCGATGCCAGTACTTTCCGGAGTTCGTTAAGTCGTGGCAGGTGAGTCTTCATTGTTGTCGGAGGGTGAAGGTGATGATAGGAGAACTGAGATTTCTGTGAGATGTGTGCATACCGCGAAGGCGAGAGGCCCCAGCCTAGGACTCACGTGGCACTTTATAAAGGCTGGCTGTCTCGTTGATTCGAAGCAAAATGACACCACGTGCCAGCCCTGCGCGAAATGGTCCACCCAACGCAAGCCGGAGTTGAAGGTAACATTGAGGCCATGATTCTAGGCATGGGCAGACCGGGGGCCGAGTGTAACTTCGCGAACCCTTGGGGCACTTAACGATGGCCGACCAGGGACTAGCCAAACTATGTTTAGTGGGGCTATTTTGCCTGTCCGCAAGCCAGAACAATTGGGGCTTGATTCCCTGACTCGAGTTGTCGGATGGTGGGAAGACGGGTGACTTCGTCCATAGAAGCGATACCGATAGATACCATAAAGTAAGAAAGCAATGAGCCCTTAAAACAATGCAGGCTATCTAAACCCAACCCTCCAACCTCTTTTCGCATGGTACATATGTTCTCAGTATGCTTTCCGTACTAGCGGCCTCAAGAAATGTTTTCAACAAAACGCTCTGGATCCAGGATCCTTCCAGTATCGATATTGTTTGACCCTGATAACACCCCTACTCTTCCTGTGGTATCCGGCTCCCGCTCGCCTCTTGGCCACACGAATCTTTGGAACCGATAATCTGCGTGGTCGATGGTCCGAATGTATGCACGGATTACTTCCCAGATTTGATTGCAAAACCGTCTGAGGTTGCCGAGGGTGCACTCCACGCGCGGAAGGAAAACTGGCGAGATGGCAACCGAGTCGAGCGTGTACTGGTGAACGACCGTAAGGTGCATTTCTAACCAATCGACGGGGTAGGCCAGCATGGCAGAGGCATATCGAAAGATTTTCTCGGTGTGCGTACGCGGAAATAGGATACTGGGCCCATTCTAGGCCAGGAATTCAAGGTCCTCATAAAAAAGAAGACAATTAACAATCAACCGCTAGGGCCTCGTAAAATGGGGTAGTTTCTCGTCGCTGCGTTGCAAATTGGTCATCTCCATATCTGGCATATCTTTATCCCTTCTTCGAGGTGTGGTCTGCGGACGAGATGATGACTCTTTCACGGACGGTGTCTTTCTGTAAGAGCCTCTCGATGAGCAGCTGTATCCTCGGGGATTTCACGGTATTACGAAAAATAC